CTTGATTGACAGTCGGCAGCGACGATGCAGATGAAGCGAGCAGAAGGCGGTAAATGTGGGCGGGCAGAGAGGGCCTGCCTCTCAATCCGTCTGACCAATCGCTGCTCCTATGGCTCCGCCCCCCTCTGACGATTTTTGCGTGACTGGCTCCAAAAATCCAAGATGTCAACCAGGAAGAAGCAAAACCCTGGCTTCATTTTCTCAGTGCAGAAACCAACGGATGACGTCCCGGTAGCTACGCCCATCTTTTATACAGTCTGTGGTTGTAGCACTACATAGTTTGTCAAATCAATGTTAAAGACAGGTTGGTGTAGAAGGACATTTATAATAACATACATTTAAAACAACTGCAATATTAGACTATGATGAAAGGATAAATCTCGATGTCAATGTGTTTATTGCAAAAAACAACTTATTTTATGTGGACAGTGATTTTCTTATTATTTCTATGAAATAAATAAGCATTTATGAGTCTCAGCAAGCTACAGTAAAGAACAAAGCCAGTCCAACATAGCCTCAAAACACCTTAATAATTCCAGCGTTGAGTAAAAGCAATGCACAGTTCTCTTTGAAAAATGAACCACAACACATGTTGAGATGCTTTCTTACATATAACAAAGAGCTGAACATCTTGGAAGTCAGTAGATTTCACACAAAAAGAAACAAGTGCTTATTATTCTATTTCTTCTCCTTCTTGCTTTCCAATGTCGAGAATTCCAGTGATACAGTTGCAAAGGCTACAATAACATAATCCTGAAAATTCTGATTTTTTATTTTATTTTATTTTTTTAAACAAAGATTAGGGCAGACACTTCCTAGTTTAATCACAGCCAGATGAGAAAAAAGGATTTCTGTGGCGCAGAATATACCGTAGCGCAAAGTAATACACCAACAATAAGACACAAATGTGACACAAGACCAAAATCAGCATTCTGTGTGTGTTGCTCAAGTACAGACAAACATCCTGGTGCGAGTTTTACAAAAGCAGCTCGCTAGCACAGCACAGATGAGTTCACCTGAGGGGTGTGCTACAAAGCAAGTTTGACATAGCCAGTATTTTTTTCTGTCAGCCAGATCGACGAAACAGAAAGCCTCAGTCAGAGATCCTTTATGAATCAGGCTTCTTCTTTAGACTTTAGTTTCACTCTTTGCTTTAGCTTCAGGAAGAGGAGCATGGAGAGCTATGAAGAAGATAAAAATGTATTAGTCAGAAAAAACAAAGCTACTTCAAATGATGCAACAGAGGAATCCTAGTAGAAAACTGTTAATCATGTAAATGTATATGTATTTCTTTAAATATACACTGTTAATGCAGCCCATTATTTCTAAAGGTTAAGAGCTGTTAAACTTCAACTTAATACGACTGAAAGTGATATTGATCACCTCAGGTTTTGGCCAAACAAGGGAAATTAATGTTATTGATTGAATATGCTCTGTGATAACTACCAATACACTCATTTTTTAATTCTGTATTCTAGTAGCTACAATACCAACTGTGTAAAATGAACTGAGCAGCAAACCAGGACCAAAAGCACATTTAAACACTTTCTGCGTCACCAACTGAATACACGTAGGTTCCCATGGCAATGCAATGCATACATTGTGCACTTCTGTAACTGGTAACAGCTTCATTCAGTGTGATTGTTTTGACATGCAGTTCAACAGGTTATAACATATAGATATAACATATTCCTGTAACTGAAAATCTATTGCTCTTAGAGAATTGTCAGGAAACAAATTAGTGAAAAAGGGATGCTCCTTAGAGCCAATTTAAATCTCCCAACTCTGAACAGAACCTCCTCTGGAGCAGGATAGCTGTGCAGCATAAGTTACCATCGAGCCAGGGTGAAAGAGGNGATTGATCACCAAGAGTAACAATTTGTTAGAATTGTTGTGCTGACTCTGAAATTATATCGGTGGACGAATAATTCAAAGGTTGGTTTTAATAATTTTAATTCACGCAATCATTTGCTTTAGTGTGAAAATAAGTACATCTTATTTTCCACACTAAAACCCTACAATAAGGGAGAGACTGGAAATGTCTTTTTTGTTTGTTTTTTTGCTGTCTGCTACCAAGTGGCTGCATTAGACAGTCTGACCTATTGCTCACTGAAAAACAAGCAAAGATCCTGTGAAGAGACATTAAGGTGACGCGTCCGTGAATTATTTTAATTCATCTTTTCATCAAGGATGTAAGAACTGTCTGTCTGTAATTTTATGTAGTGTAGTAAGACAAGACAGCCATCTTTTCCTCAACAGTGGGTTTAAACTTGTTACCTTCTAACTTATTCATAAATAGGTATGTGGAGATAAATTCATGAATTCAAATTATTTCTTTTAAATGATTGCATTTTACATTCTGATTATGTAATACCAGTCATATACTGTCCAATGTATTTTAATTCAGACTCGCTGATCTCGATGATCACAGGTCATTTTGGTAAATTTGTGACTTTCCCTTACACATACTGTAGCAACACACAAGTCAAGTGATACAGGTTATTGATGATACTCTCACTTTGATTACAACACTGAGTAAAATTACTGCAAATTCAACATTTCAACAAGAATGTTTTGCCTTATGATTTGGTGCAAACTACACAGCAGTCCTACACACTCTGACCATTTTGACAGTAATCCAAGTGTGTGTCTTAATGGTTGGAAGTGTGTGAATTTTAAATAATTTACAACTTCTGTCACATCTGTTATTTCCATGTTGCTGTGGATACTTAAACTGCATGATGCGTTACATTTTTTTCCCCTTGACAGTTGCTTCGGTGTAAGTTGTGGTATTGTCAGAGAGTGGAGTTCTTTTGATGTGGCGTCAGGTTTGCAGGGACAAAAGCTGGTCATGGTGGTTTTGGTGGCCGTTTAGTTCTTCCAATGCACTGCTCTTTGTGAAGGTAGTGTTTTCTCTGTGAGACATCTGTTGATCAAAAGTGGACACTGTTGCCAGTTTGGGGATCATGTCTTCA